ATATATTTCTTAAAGTCGAAATAAAATAAAGTCGATAAGAAGTTGTTTTATTTTTTTTTTTTTTTTTTTTTTTTCTGCGCATGTTAAATATATTTCTTAAAGTCGAAATAAAATAAAGTCGATAAGAAGTTGTTTTTTTTTTTTTTTTTTTTTTTTATTTTTTTATTTTAACACTTTCACATGTACATATAAAATAATTTTCATCAATTGGTACACAGTAACATCGGGTCTACACACAATATAGTAGAACATGTAGAATGTGAAAGGTGTTTTGAAAAAAAAAGACAAAGAAAAGGGGGAGGGGTCAGCAAGAAAAAAAAACCTTTCTTCTGTTACAAATAATACAAAAAAATAAAAAATCACTCAAATAAATTATTAGATGTACATGTATATATTAGCTTGTATATGTAACTCTGTTACTTACAATGTATCACAAATATTTTGCCAATGCCTTTCATATTCATCATATTTACAATTCTTCATCAATAAAAATTTTTCAATCAAAATTCTATCTGTGATCTTCTTTAAGACAACTTCATCATCTATTCTTGGAACATTCTTATATTTACTGGCAAAAATAAATTGTTTTACAATAAGTATTAAAAGGTTTTGAAATTTATAAACATTCATATTTTCATATTTACCAAATAGTATTGCTTGTTTATCAAAACAACAATGAATATTAAACTTATTTAAAATCCATTCTTCAATAGTACACCAGAGTTCTTTTACATGGAAACATTCAACAAATAAATGATCAATTGTTTCTATGTCACTTCTGCAGAAACTACATGCTGGAGAATCGATCAATTTTAGTCTAAAAAGATAATAATTAGTTGGGATGATTCTATGTAAGATTTGAAACTGTAGCCATTGAAGTTTAGATTCTTGGGTTATTTTAAAAGGAAGTTCAAATATTTTAGCCCAGTCTGCCTCATCGAAGATAAATCTGTTTTCTCTCCATTTTTTGATTGAGTTAGCTGGCTCTTTCTTTTTACTTATAAATATGTTATACATATCCTTACAACCTTTATCATGTTTATAAAATATAAAAATGGAATTTGGAAGATGTGGTCCAATCAACTTAGCATTTTTAATTTCATCACAGTTTATATTTTTCAGTCTATCTAACACTGCTATTCTAAGACCATTATAATCAACAAAATTTGTTTTCACTTTCAAGTTTATTAATGAGTCGAGACTTATGAAACTACCCTCGTTGTTAAAGAGGTCAGTAAGAAAAACAATGCCTTCATTAAAATAGTTTTTCCAAAAAAAAGATTTATTATTAATTTTAATCCTTGGATTATTCCATATATGTTCAAAGAGCACATGCCTGTCCTTTTCTTGATTTATTATAGTTAACCTTGCCCAGCTTGACAGAACTTCTTTCCAAAAAACATTATTTAATCTTGTTGAGAGATTCAGAATATAATCAGAACCCCTTATCCAAAGATTGTTTATATCTACTTTTAGTTCAGCTTCCAATAATTTTACCCAGTTTGCTTGTGAGTGGATAAGTCTTCTAATCCAACTTGATTTAAGGGCAGAAATGAATTCTGTATAATCAATCATGTTTAGACCTCCATATTTATAATCCTGGATTATAACATTTTTCTTTACCTTGTGAGTTTTGCTACCCCAAAGAAAATTATACATTTCAGTCTCAAACATCTTCAAAAAGTCTGACTTAGGGTTTGGTAAAGTAAGAATTAAATGGTTTAATTTGGGTAATATTAAAGTTTTAATTTTGGTAATATTAAAGTTTTAATTACTGTTAACCTTCCAATTGGGGTAAGTTTCCTTAAACTCCACTTACGTAACAAAGTTTTGATTTCATTTAGCTTTATGGAATAATTAAGATCAAGCATTTCATTCAAGTTTACTGAAAATTTTATTCCAAGAAGATCAAATATTGAATTTTCCCAGTCAAGCTTCCACCTTGAGTGATGAAATACATCCCTTGAAAATTTTTTACTTCCAATCCATATCATTTTAGTTTTTAAGAAATTTATTTTTAAGCCTGATATATTAGCAAAATAATCTAATTCTCGGAGAATACCATCCATAGATCTTGGTGAACCATCTGAGATAAGAGAAGTATCATCAGCATATTGAGAGAGTTTGTACTCTTCACCCTCAATTGTTATACCTTTGATATCTTGATTATTACGAATTAAGATTCCAAGAATTTCAGCACATAACAAAAAGAGATAAGGTGAGATCGGATCACCTTGTCTGCATCCTCTTTGGGGGAAAAGATAATCTGAAGTAAATCCATTTTGTATAACACATGATTTAATACCATTATAGAAGGTTCTAATCCAATTTTTAAAAGAGGGTCCAAAATTAAAAAAGTCAAGGGTTTGATATATAAAGTTCCATGAAATTGTATCAAAAGCCTTTTCGAAGTCAATTAACATCAAAAGACCAGGTATTTGATTATATTCTGTATAATGCATTATATCATATATCAGTCTAATATTCTCTCCAATAAATCTACCTTTTATAAATCCAGTTTGGTCTCTATTTATCAATTTGCCCAATTTAGTTTTCATTCGTTCCGCGATGCATCCTGATGCTATTTTATAAACAACATTTAAAAGACTAATGGGTCGCCAGTTTTTTAGAAATTGTTTTGGCTTTCCTGTTTTTGGGATACAAGTAATGATTCCTAATTTATTTGAGTCTGAGAATTGAAGTTTTTCATTTGAATTATTTATTGCTCTTGTAATAAAGGAGCCAATATCTTTCCAGAAAAATTTGAAAAATTCACATGTAAATCCATCCGGTCCTGGACTTTTGTCATTTTTCATTTGTTTTAAGAAGTTTAAAACTTCAAAATTTGTTACAGGACCTTCCAGACTGTTTGATTCTTCTCTACTTAATTTGGGAATATCATAATCTTTAAGTCTGTCATGAATATTTTCAGAATCTACATTTTCCCTTTTCTTATATAAGTTATCATAGAAAGCTTTCGTTTCATTTAATATCTCGCTTTGGGAAGAAACAATTGATCCATTGTCCTTTTCTATTTTAGGTATTTGCTTACTTACGTAGTTTCTTGATTCTAAACTTACAAAATATTTTGAGGGTTTTTTCCCCCTCCTCAATCCATTTGACCTTTGACCTTATGCATTGACCTTTAAATTTTACGTTCTTTATTTCTTCTACTTCTCTTTTCTTTTTTCAAGTTCATTAATTAACTGATCTGTTAAATTCTGCTCTAATTCTAATATTTCTCTCTCTAACTGTTGTTCTCTTTCGAAAGTTTTCTTTTTTTTATATGTTGAAAATGAAATTGATTTTCCTCTTATTTCCATTAACAAAATATCAAGAAAGAGTTGGTCACTAATGGTGAGTTGAATAGTATCATTCTCGATACAACTTATTTTTTCCATATTATATACTGGGCAAGAATATTGGATTTTAACATCCTTAATCTTACATTTTATTTGTTCAACATATTCTTTTTCGTGCAACAGGGAATTATTGAATTTCCAGAACCCCTTTCCCTTTTTAAATTCATTTAATTTACAATGTAATAGAACTGGTGAATGATCAGAACAATAACTATTTTCAAACTTGACACATGGATTCATAGCTAGCATGGATTCTGTTATCAGGAAAAAGTCAAGTCTAGCTTGTTTGAGTGGATTTTTTCGTCTCCAGGTAAACCTTTTTAAAACTGGATTATCTTCACGAAATACGTCCTTAAGGTTTAAAACATCCATAAGCTTTATTACTTCAAGTCTTGATTTTGGATTGTTTAAATTTTTGTAATTCATTGAATCCAAATCTTTATCAAAAACTAAATTAAAATCACCACCTATAACAATTTTATGAGAGGGATGAATCTCCTCTATTTCATGGACTAAACTTATGTAAAAATTAGGTGTGTCAGAGTTTGGACCATAAATATTTATTAGTAAAAAAGAGATATCCTCAATATAGACATCCGAAATTTGAAAATTACCATCAGTATCCTTATATTCATTGACGATTTTTAATTCAAAGTTGTTGTTAAAGAGGATAGCGACTCCCCTTGAATTGGACTTGAATGAACTAAAAAATGCTTTATATCCCCACTGTGCTCTTATCATATTTTCATCTTTTTCTACAAAATGGGTATCTTGTAAAAAGTAAATATTGTAATTCTTAGCTTTTAAGTTCTTTAGCACATCTCTTCTTTTATGAATGTTACCAAGGCCTTGACAATTTACTGAGAGTATTTTTAGGCTGTTATCATTATTATAAACCATAATATTCTAAGAAAAAAATGATGAAAACATTGCTGACCCCCTGATAGACAGAAACAGAAGAAAAAAACAAAAAATAAAAAAGGTGTATATACAAAAATGTGTGGGTTGCCTGAGAATACATGCCTTGTTGATTTTGAGAGTAGAAAGTTTATACCAAAAACAGATTATAATTGATATTTCTTAAGAGTTAACATTAAACATCTCTTAAATGAATGAGAATGGGTTTACAGGTGTAGGAAATACAATATACATGGTCTATTCCATTTGTAGAAAATATATGAATCTACCTAACAGGTTGTGAATTAAAATTTGTTAATATATATTTTATTCTCTTATGAGGGAAACCACTAAATGTAATGTAATCACAACTTGTCCGTCTTTTTAATTAATTAGGTGATGTATCTATAAGTAACCAAAAAGACAATGTATACAGATTCCTATAAATTATGTGACATGTTAAGTAGAAAAATTAAACTTACATATCGCCTACAGTTGAGCTGATAAAAAGAATACACAACTTATTTCGGGAAAAGTCATAAGGTAAGCAAGAACAGGAAATAGTATGTTTCAAAAACTGCCGGAATATTATTGGCTGGAAGAAAGAAATCCGGGATACTTGAAAATTCATAAAAAATGTATTACACATTTTACCTTTAGATCACATTTAAAAAATAATTTCAGATCAAGACCAGAACAGTTCTAGAGTCAAAAATGTTACTGTGTTTATTTTTCATGTTTTTAAACTGAAGTTGGTAAATTTTTTACGGCACTAAGACCTGCTTCTTTGATATGGGAAAATCGACGAGGTCCAATATTGTTTCCATGCCATCGAGAGACAACCACCAGTACGTTGTTAACTTCGTTTTCGGCTAGCATTTTTAAAAGTAACCTTCCCGCACCATGTTCCCCGTCATCATTTGATCCTTCATGGATTATCCCATCACTGCTTGTGAAGCGATAAGCATAAACGTTATGGCTTGCGCTGGGTACGGTTTCGATACGCATGATTTCCACTAATGATCGTTTAATCTGTTTATAGGAATCGACTTGGGTGGAATGCGCCATAAACCGGTTTCCGTTGTCCTCAATTGACTTTCCAGGGTTAACGGTAATCTTGACTACGTCGCTGGAAATCACCTCATCTGCCGTTGGAAGAGATCCTACTTTCTCTCTGTAGATTGAATTACTCTGGGTAAAGATAAGCCTGTCCCCCTTCATTTTCGTCTCGATATTTCGTTCTGCATATTTTCTTTGAACTTCATACAGCTGTTTTCGTCGTTCCCGTATCTCCTCTGGTTGTTGTTGGGCAATTCTTATGTCCGATTTTTTTTCTTTTAGAACTTTTATGTGTTTCATAACAAGGTCTTTTTGTGCTTTATCGGCAAATTGCACACAAACTGGTCTCGGAAATTTTCGTTGAGCATCGTATTCTCCCATTCGGAAGAGTTTCTGTATTTGTAATTCATCAACTGCTGTCTCCCCCATGTTCATCTCTGATATGAATACATTTCTTAGAATTTGCGCAAGGTTCTCTGGTGTCTTCCTCTCGGGGCCTTTTTCCTGCAGACCACTAACAATGATGTTATTCTCCATTGACCTTGCCTTGAGATCAACTATTTGGTTACTTTGTGAATTTACACGGTATTCAAGACGAACTACATAATCCTTGAGTCTGTTCATTTCACGTTCCATTTTTTTCTGGTTATCCTGTAGTTCTGTCACAAGGTATATTGTGTCATTAGCCTGCTCTTGAACAGTTTCAAGTCTTTCTTGAATGCCATTTTTTGCTCTGATTTCTTTCGTAATTTCATCTAAGTGTCGACCTTGTCCATCGAGCCGTAACATAAAATTCGCCAAAGTAGTCTGAATACTTGCAATGCCCTGCATTATATCCCTTAACTGAAAATCTTCCGGTTTCTGATCACTTTGATCACCTTGCTCCATACTCTCGTCAGTACTGTCCATTTTATCTAGTGCCCGTTTCTTGGAGATATCCGACATTGTTAAATGTATGTTCATAAACAGAATGAGTATCACTCACCAGGTAAATACCATTGACTTACCGAAAATACACATAAAGGTTTTCCCGATGTTTATCGTTAATTTTCCTCTATAGGTTGTCACACAATACTTAATTCATTATCTTAATTAAAGTTGCTGCATATTTGGGCTTCTGATTTTCAATGATTTCAAGTTTTTAGGTAAAAACTTTCCTCTCAGAAATTTGTGGTTGTCTACATGTCGGGCATGCGCAGAAAAAAAAAAAAAAAAAAAAAAAAAAAGTTGTTTTATTTAATATTTAATTTCATTGAAGCTATCACACCTATTTGATAGATCAGTCCAAAGGAAAGGCACGAATATTTACTCGTGCTGTTTGGCGCCAGATTATGAATAGATTAGATTATGATTAATAGATTCTATAATTCTGATTATAGATTATGAATAGTGACCCGCCTTTTATGATTCTTAGACAGGTGTACTGTTGCAGGTGTACTGTATACACAACTATATTTAGAGCAGTATTTAAAAATTATTAGTTTTTCAAGAAACGTAACCACTGTGTTTCCCATACACACTAGTGTCATATTAAACTAATACAAAAGAAAGAAATATGAAAACCTTTTTTAAATAAGATCGAATAATGGAGTTTATATAAACATTCTTTTCTCAATAATCTGATTCAAGTTATTGAACATAAATGGTACCTGATACCTTGAGGTAGGGTCAATCATGTTTTTCGGCGAACCATTTCAACGTTTTCGTGAAAGTGTAACTAATCAGCATAGTTCACTTTGGGGATAAACGAAAAATAAAAAAAAGTTTAAAATTATGGTCACTTCACTGCTTTTGTGTTACTTACCTATATAATGTTTACAATTAGTTAAATATATTTTCTAAACCTTGAATTAAGGCTAGAAGAACATTCTTTTTTCTTAATTTCATTGAAGCTATCACACCTATTTAATAGATCAGTCCAAAGAAAAGGCACGAAGATTTAGTCGTGGCGTTTGGTGCCTTCTATAATTTTTAGACAGGTGTACTGTTGCAAAAGTATAGACAAGTACATTTAGAGCTGTACTCCCGATAGCGAAAGAAAAAAAAGGCGCCACGATTTACTCGTGACGTTATGCGGGAAATTGTGAATGGCCTGCACATGGGCGTAGAAAGCAAATTGAAAGGGGGGGGGCTAATCGAAAGTGAGGGGGCTAACCAATAAAAAAAAAAAGTAAATCCCAATTTCAATACCTATATAATATCTTTTTTTCCGACGCCAATGGAGATTGACGAGTGCAGAAGTAAATAGAAGTGCAGAGAAAGATTATATCAACATGCCTTAATATGAAATCGCATGGGAAAGAGTTAAGTTCATATAGAATAAATGAAGTAAAAGCCAGCCCCATTCGATAATTCTACACCAGTGGCGGATTCAGGATTCTTGAGAAAAAAAGGACCAGTTTGTGGTCAGGATAGGGGCCCACAGCCATACCAAAAATGTTATTTATTAAATCTATATATATTTTGGACACATACTTGAGAGACCAGGCCTAGAGAGAACTGTAGCTCTCCGGTAAAATATATTGACAGACCGGAGAGCTACAGTGCCACCCATTGAAAAAGAAAGTGTATATTCATTGCGACCAGGCTTCAATCCTCTTTGTGACCAAACTTTTGAATCACTTTTCAGCTCGATTTTACGAGGTTTTTTTTTCCTGAATCGGACGGAAGACCTCTCGTTGCTCGCAACGAGATCGTATCTAGTTATTATTATTATTCTTTTTTCATAGTACAGCAGATATCTCAGCTATGCGTGGACAGATTTCAAAGATTTTCTCAAGAAAGATGCATCATGAGAATATCTCCAGATGTGTTTTTCATTTTTTCAAAATTCACTTCCGTTCGTGATTTTTGGGGATTTTTGTATTTTTTAAAAGGCATTTTGTCCAGCAGATTTCTCGAGAACGGTTAAAGATATATAAGTGAAACTCACTGAGGTGATAGAACATTGAACTTTGTTATGGGCAACGACCTTTATTTTTCGTCGTCGGCACTTCCGGTCGCAAACGGAAGTGAATTCAAAACGTCCCAATTTTCAACTTTTTTGTTTTTCAATATTTTTCTTTAGTATTTACATGGTTTATAGTGTGTCTTATGAGAATTCCAAATATGTGTTCAGTATCTTGATGCGTGCATTTATTGAAAAGATATGACCGAACCAAACTTTGTCTCACTGTCGGGGGTTCGAATCCCACTGGAGGCGTTTCAAAATTTTTTCTTTGTTTATGTCTTTTTTCAGCTGCATATGACTTTTATTTCTTTTATAACACGTATGGATTATTTTTCCGATTTTTAAAAGCTATTTTTTGAGATATTTTGAAGAATATCTGTAATTATCATGATGTATGTTGAGAGAATGCTGTGAATAAACGTAACCTAAAAAAAATACGTTCTGAAATCTATTTCTTGGGATTACGCAGCATAGAACTCTTACGAAAAGTCGGTCGGAAGACCGCTTGTTGCTTTAGCAACAAGAACGCATCTAGTTATTATTATTTTTCTTCTCGGGAAAATTTTGTCCGCGAATGATCTAGTAACCTACACATCCAATTTAGGTGAAATGTTTTTAGGGTCAGTAGACATGTTATGTAGATTTGCGGAATCAAGGTCATTTTGCGCGCACGTGCTTGCAAGAGCGCGCACGTGCAAAAGTTGACATGACCAATATATAATGGATAAAACCGTAACTTTTCTATTTTTTAACAAAATGTTTTGAAACTGATAATGTAAGGATATATTAGTAGTATGCACAAGATGACATGGTCAAAATAACAACATCGCACGCGCATGCACATGCGCTTTGCTCTGATTGGCTGAAACTTAAGTCTCTATATCTTTCTTGTTTTTTGATAAAATCATTTGAAATTTTGAACATAGTCATACACTAGGGAGATCTACAGCCTGTTATATTAGAATTATCATGAAAGCATGTGCATGCACGTGTGCTTGCAAGAGCTTGCACGTGCAACATGAAAAATGTCCAACATAATTGATACAGACGTAACTTTTTAAATTATTGATGAAATGCTTTGAAACTCATATTATAAGTATATATTAGAAGCATAGACAAGAAGACATGGTCAAAAAAGCAAGATCTCACGCGCATGCACGTGCGCTTTGCTCTGATTGGCTGAAACTAAAGTCTCAATATCTTTCTTGTTTTTTGACGAAATCCTTTGAAATTTTAAACATAGGATGTATTAGGATATCCTACACTTCTACAAGATGGTATGGTCATCATGCACATGCATACACGTGCATGCGTGCACTGCAATCTGATTGGCTGAAACTTTAAACAGCTATAACTCCCTTGGTTTTCAACCAAACGGGGTGGGATTTAGAACATAGAGAGATGTAATGGACTTCTACAAAGAGGTATGGTCATCATGCTTATGTATGCACGTGCTTCCACGTGAAATGAGTTAAATCAAAAATACAGTTTAATGAGCGTATTTTTTTAAATACTTTTGGATTAATTACTTTAACATTAGTATATTAAAATATATAGATTGTATAGACAAGATGATATGGTCATTATGCACATGCATTCACATGCACACACGTGAAATTCTAAAATTTGAATGAACTTGGTACTTTCTCCTGGGTAAAAATTGTTAAAGCCTCAAATGCATAGAGTTTGTCTTATTTAATGAAGCTTACAGGGAATGTGGCACCAAAAGGAAGTTGGGGAGCGTTTGGGGAACATCTGTAACGGTCCCCGTTACAATTAGCACTAGTTATTAAGGTCTTCCGTTTCAACGGAAGACCTTCTTATTTTTCTGTTGTTTCTTTTCAACTTTTCTTATTATTATTATTCTTACCGATTTTGTGCACGCGATTTCTCGTAAATGCTTCGATGGATTTTCATGAAACTTTCAGCATTGATGACAAATGATATGAACTTAAGGCGTTTTTTTTATTTGATGGCGTCACTTCCGGTTCGGAGTAATTTGCGATTTAGTGAGTTTTAGAGGGTCATTTTGTCCGGCAGTTTTCTCAAAAAGCACTCAACACAGAAGCATGAAATTTTCAGTGCTGATAGAGCAACCCTTGGAGATATGTATTTGGTATATCTCAACCACCGGAAGAACGAAGCGCCGACGCTGGCTATGGTCCGAAAACAGTCCTATCAAGAATTTCAAAATTTTTAACACCTTTTCTACGATTACTTTTTATCTAGAAATATTTTGTTAAAGCATGTAGAACAAAAGAAGTGTAGAATTTGGAGATCTTTCAAATGATATCTCGAAAAAAGGGCTGGCCCCTTAAATTAAGGGCCAAGGGGGGCCGAAAGTTTCCTTTATATCTCAAAAAGTATTGAGAATTTGTAATACCTCAAAGAAGCAAAGTTGTTCAAAATGTCAAGATTAATCTACTGTAGTCAAAATAATACGTCCGGCGTCGTCACTTCCGGCCAAACCGGAAGTAGTCTAAAAACGCGTATTTTTGCCATTCTTGACAAGTTTTGGCGTAACATATGTCACTTGAAGCCTAAAACTTAATTTTCCGTCCGTTGTTGTCACTTCCGCCGGCGTCGTCACTTCCGGCCAAACCGGAAGTAGTCGAAAAAGGCGTATTTTTGCCATTCTTGACAAGTTTAGGGGTAACATATGTCACTGGAAGCCTAAAACTTCATTTTCCGTCCGTTGTTGTCACTTCCGGTTTAACCGGAAGTAGCAAAAATTGCTTATTTCTGCAATAATCAACACATAACTTTAAATGATTCAAACCATTTTTAGGCGTTTATTTCTTATTTTTGTTAAAAATTAAAGCTACTTCCGGTCAAACAGGACGGAAGACCTACTCGTTGCTTTGCAACGAGCTTTGCTCTAGTTATTATTCTTTTTTTTCTTCTTTGTTCTCCGGTACTTTTTTTTTCCGCGAGTGTTCTCAGAAACTGTTCACCCAACTAAGTTAAAACCTTTTTAGGGTTAATAGGTGTGTAGTGTAGGTGTGCAGAACGAATGTCATTTTGCGCGCATTCGCATGCACGTGCGTGCGCGTGAAGTGAGTGATATGACTGATATACTTAATATGGCCATAACTTTTACATTTTTTGATGAAATGCTTTGAAACTCATTACATAAGAATATATTAATAGTGTTGATAATATGACACTGTCAAATTAGCACGAACTCACGCGCATACACGTGCGCCTTGCTCTGATTGGCTGAAACAAAAATCTCAATTTCTCTTTTATTTTCAGACGAAATGCTTTGAAATTTTAAACGTTGTCTTGAATTAAGACATCCTACAAACAGTATGGAAATAAATTCATGAAATCACGCGCATGCACGTGCGATGCAATCTGATTGGCTGAAAGTTTAAATGGCTATATCTCCTTTGTTTTTTGACGAAATGCTTTGGAATTTAAAACATAATCTTGCATTAGAATATCCTGCAATATGATATACAAAACAATTCAACAAATCACGTGCATGCACGTTTGCTGCAACCTGATTGGCTGAAACTTTAATTGGCTATATCTCGTTTGTTTTTTGACGAAATGCTTTGAAATTTAAAACATATTCTGCATTGGGATATCCTACAATATGATTAAGATAAAAATCATGAAATCACGCGCATGCACGTGTGCTGCAATCTGATTGGCCGAAACTTGAAATGGCTATATTTCCCTTGGTTTTCAACCAAACAGGATGGGATTTAGAATATAGATAGATATAAGGGCCTCCTACAAGAAGGTATGGTCATGATGCACGTGCACGCACGTGCGTGCATTTGGAACGAGTGAAATTAAAAATACACTTGAATGAGTGATTTTTAATACTTTTGGACTAAATGGATTAATATATAGTATATTTAAATATATAGAAAATTGTAGACAAGATGATATGATCATTGCGCACGTGCATTCACATGCGCACGCCTGCAATGTTAAAATTTGAATATAATTGGTATCCCTCTGGGAAAACGTTGTTAAAGGCAAAAATGCACAGAAGTTGTCTTATTTAATAGGGCCTAAATGGAATATGGCACTAAAAGGGAGTTGGGGAGCGTTTGGGGAACATCTGTAATGGTTCCCCAAGCACTAGTTTTGATCGGGATTGGCTAAAATAAAAAAAATAATTTCTCTCAAATTTGGCAATTTCGTTTATAAATATGATTAACAAACATATTTTCCCCAGTTGTGTCGGGTTTAAAGGAGATTTTAACCACAAGTTTAAAAAATATTCACAAATTATGTGATTTATTTTCATAAATATTTTTTTTTATTTAAAACTTTTAATATATATACGGCTTTTCCATACATATCTTATTTGGTATTCATGTGATGCATTCAATTACAGCAAAATTTTTACAATAAAGCATTTAGTTTGGATGTACATATTCCTTTTCATTTTCTTTGAAAAAACAAAAAAAAATCATATAAAATAATTAATAGCTATTAATGTCGACCTTTCAATACTGAAACCATTGTTGAAAAAGGTTGACTCAGAGATCTATGAAATAAAAAGTTGGTGTGGTATTCCTCCTTAATTTAGACTTCTCAATAAAGATTAAAGGGATACATTATTATAGTTTGCCCTTATCTATATCATCGGAAATAGGAAGTTAAATTAATGAAATTTCCATACAAAATGATACATTTTAAAAACAAAACAGTGCACATGAGGAAGTGACACTGTTTATGTAACATGTAACGAATAATACGTAACCATTGTTACATCATATATGACTGAAAATATTGATTTTGTCTGAATGATTTAACATACAGACGACTGCACTAGATTGTTCATATGTACGACAGTGATTTAATAAATAATGTAATGTAAAACGAAGGAAACTACAGCAGAGACTTTTTTTATGTTCCTAACTCCTTTAAGTATTTTTGTTGAGCTAAATGCACGACAAAACATCTCCCATACATGTAGTAACCTTAACATTTGCTTATAGTTACCGATAAAATACATTTTTCCAAGTTAAAAATTGAAAAAAAATCTTTTTATGAGTTAAGCAAAAAAGTTTAAACAAAACTAAAGACAACCGAGATTAAGGGTGGCAAAGCTTTGTTAGTGTTTATTTTTATTTCAATATATGGGTTATATTTGATTTTTTTGCAGCAGGGTTGTAGGACGATGGAAAATGAACCCAGTATTTAGACTTCTATTGCAGAACAAATATTGAACCAATAGTCGTCAATTTTTGATTACTCATAAAACAACCATTGATGGCTTCTCCTTTTGATTGAGATTTATGCATTATATATTTTTTTCAACTGTGTTCTTTCCACTACACATTTGATCTAAAATGTTCAAATCATACTAAGTTGAATAGAATAATAGTCTCTTTAATTTATATGATTTTTTTTTTCAATAGTTAATCCGAATGCTCATCATTTCCTTCTTAATTCAACGTCTTGCTGAACGTAGGCAAATTGGCTAAAATATGTTTAAAAGAATAGACGTAGTTCAATCTGTAAATATCACTTTCATTTTAAAGACTCTATAAAGGCATGAATTTACAAAAATTAGACGTCATTTAGATATTACCAGATTTATAATGATTTATTTATTTATTATTATTTTTTTTTTACAAAAAATTGTATCAAGTAAATAATTTTGAATAATCATACTTCTAAGTCTTTATTTTGAAATATATTGTATAAGTGTACGTAGAAAAATAATACACAGTCTATTTAACCCTCCATGAAGATTACTCAACCGTAACAAGTTTCGTAGAGGAAGGCTGGTCCGGTAAAAAAGGATGAAAGTACGTACTAAGTAATAATCACAACTGTTTATGGCCAAGATACTCGCACCATAGCCACATACGATATGTTTTTGCGTGTAATCCTTATGGAAATATCGATTTAAAGATAAACTAAGTACTTAACAAATCAAAAGTACATTAAACATAGCGTAACATTCTGTCAAACCAGGTAATACAATGCATGTACATGTATATTAAAATTTATATACATTGTAATAATGAATTTAAATTGCAGGAGCGGAGAAGAAAGTTACTACATTGGTACTGTCACAAAATATTTCCCCAAAATGTGATTAATTGTTAATTTAACCTTTTGTCAAATAACTCGATTGCTTCACATGAAAATAAAGAGCAGTTATTTTTTACCAAGTTAACGTCTTTTCTTCAATACCGTCAAGGTTTATTGCAAGGGTAAACAGAGTATTATAATTTTCCTTCATCAAGATTCAAATAAATTGGTTAAAAGCTCACTGCAATGTACTTTCGTTTTCGAAGATCATGATCAATGCCTTATTTGTTTGTTGTAGAAGTGGGTTTGTGTGTATTATTAGGTTACACATGTTAAGATGTTTTTGATTTAAATTTTGTTGGGATATTTTTTCATTTCCAATAAATAATGAATATCTATTCACAAAAATTTCTTCAAATAATAAGAAAGCCGTTCAATTTTTATTTTGTATCATAAAACAATTGTGTTAACTGCTTATTGATCATAAAAAATTTGCTCCATATCCACTTGCCTGCTCTGCCATTAATGTTTATGGTACATTGTAATTTAATTCAAATTTATTTTAGAAATTTTCTATTTCAATTTTAAAATATGTGTCAAATTGACGCTATAATAATTCTATTGCAGATTCTGGTTTGACTGAAGATGAGAGTGCTTCTTCTTTCGAGTATATTTCTCTCTATTAGTACGATATTACTTGTAAGTATATCTTTTCTTAAATTGGTCATATAAATATATCACCCTCACCTCTAAATTTCTATCTCTACCCCGTTTTATAGTCATCACTTGGCCTGTCCTGTCCAGTTACCGTACCAACTGTATCCTAGGTGTCCAGGTGTCCATCTAATGAAACAGAATGGGCATCAGCAGCACAACAAAAACAGTGCAACAAACTGGCAGAGTTGCACTGAGACTGAAAAGTTTGTATACCATTGTGTTTTGAACAAGGATGGAACAAAATATTTAGAGGTCTGTGCTCAATCCTGGTTTATGTCAGGTAGGTCATTTTACAGGTATGTATTTAATCTGTATGTCATGTGAAATCCAAGTTAACAAAATTTTTACCATTGAAGGAAACTATAGAGGTTATTTGTAACAAGGGGGTCTGTCATAATTTCAAGCGATGTTTGTTTGACGTATAAGGTCAAGATAACGTTATTCGGGAGATCATTGTCTTTTTGACTATGTCTTCTTTCAGTTTGTTGTTAAGGACGCTCTTAACACTGCACACTAAAGAGCTCTATTTATTGGGTAGTTTTATGCAGTTAGAGCGATCTTCCCTTAGATGTAAGATTAAAGAAAACTTTATTTACCGTTAATTACATACAATGTAATTTATGATAAATTAAATATTTTTTGCATTATGAAAGACGAAGAGTAAGAAATTTAATCAATTATTTTCATTAATTTTCCCAATGTAAGTAAACAACAATGATTTTTTCTCACAAATAGTCCATTGTCTTTGAACATTTTCTCCTGTGCAAATAAGGCACGTACCCTATGTTCTAAATGAATGAAAAAGTCTCAATATGCATATCTTTACATGGTTTATTTTTCTCTTAATATCAGTTTCTGTTAGTGTTTAGAGCTTCCTTAAGGTAAGGTTTGCGTTTACAGGGAGATAACTCTTGCGAATCACCAAAGCGTTTGAAACAGGTGAATTTAAACCAGCGATGCTAAGCATCTCGGTAACGAATTTCCTCTGTCATACTTGATGTTTGTTGTCACTTATTGTTAGGACTAAAAACAAACTTTGAAGGACGTTTTCAGGGGGAAGGTCTTATAACAAATCAAAGCATAGGAATCTTAGAAGCCTTTGAGATTAGCGTGATGCATGTGGATGAACCATTAAAGGAGGACTTGTTTATTTTCGATACGGAACGTGGCAAGTTACACGGCTATTCCGGATCCGAAGAAAGTCATTGACGCATTGTACTGTTGTGTGTTTCTCGCTAAAGTTTTAAGTGACAATGGGAAAGAATAAAGAAAGGACCTGAAAGTATCCTGTAAAGTATTATGCTATATGCAGTCCGAACAGGGAAGAAAAGTCATGGTGCATTTGACCATGTCCAATGATGATGTTGACAGTTTGATTGTTGATAGTATTTTCATCAGGTAATTCTTTAACTATTCATTTTACTGAAAGTTATGAATGATCTACTGAGGCCAAAATAAAAAATACCTTTGTTTCCCCTAACGCGACCGACCCAAGTAAATCGCGCCGACTGAAAAGATTTTTTAAGTAAGATGATTCAAATATTATTTTTATTGTTAACCACGTTTTACAAAATACAATTTCATCAAAATCAGTTTTTATCAGAACGGCCGACATTGTTCTATTGTGATTTTTTAGATTGTTGGAAACAAAGTGGCACCCAGATGTGATTACAGAGAATTAGTTCTTCATAATACAACGGCAACGTCTTAATCTTATGACTTTAGCTAATTAGAATAGTCTTCGCTCTTGAAACAATTCTATAATAAAATTTACCATGACTATTTAAGAGTGTTTCAGAGGTGTCTTGGCGTCTCCATGTGAATGAATAAATTCAATTTTCGAAAGGGATGTTAAACAACAAACCTGTCTCTTGAATTTAAGGTCGTTATAGATGGTAAGTCCCGCATTGTAAGGGGCCCACCTAGTGAACACATTCAATTTCACTGCATTTTATTTAATTTGAGTTTTGATCTAATAACCAGTTCACCTTTGTTCCTATGTTTACTTTATGCCAATATGGAACCAAAGTGGTTGTAAAATGTCTGCATATTCATCCTGATAAATATAATTCAAATGTCCATTCTTCATGCCTTTATTTATGGGTTAAACTTCGTGGCTATGACATTGTATATAGCATTTTTATCATTTGTACATTCGGTTTTGTTCAATTGAATATTGTTTACATACTCTTTCCAAATAGTTTTGAAATCATGATTCAGCTTCCTGAGACGTCCAGTGTATTTTTCCTTAAATAGGCTTTTGAAGATATGTTGTTTCTTTGTTTAAATGTTGGCGTGAGGTATTTCTCAAGTTCAACTAAACAATGTAACACTTGTGAATTTATTAATCAGGAATTTTGCTTTTAAACGGCACATGTATGATACTTAGCATTTTGTTCACAAATCGCTTCCTTTTGTATTTTTCTTTTCATAAGAGTAATTTTCCAATAAATTTTAGAATGCATTTTCAAAGCTGCTGTCAGAATAAAATTGTTTACCTACCTACCGACCCAACTTGAGATTTTAGGGTCGGGTTAGGGGAAACAAAGATATTTTTAATTCAGGCCTGATTACGGATTTATAAACGATGAATAAACGGTACAAGGATGTCAGGATGTGACTAATATCCCAACATTGCCAAAAAATTAAAATGCATTCATTCAAGAAATTATGAAAAATAAGATCCTTGCTTTTTAGGCCTAATATTTGTAACATTATTGGAACAGGTATTCAATTGTTCAAGTTACCTTTTTAAATGAGGTTTGATTTTAATTAATATCTTATTTTCTAATTAATAAAAAAGAGATACAGATTGTGCATGACAAGAACATTAATTTTCTTGATCAAGCATTTGCATTTCACTAATTCAATCTGTAAATTTTACAATAATTTCATATTGATTCTTCATTGATTATATTGGAAGTTTATTCATTTCATTGAATGAATGAAACTCAGTGCAATTCCTTATGAAATTCCAAAAATGCAATTCCTTTAATGTTATTGTAAAAATGAACACATATGATTTCAGATCATGGGTCATTAACTGGAATAGATAAGAACCAAAAAAAGTACTTCAGTGTTTCCTTAAAAGATTTGTGCCATCAATCAAAGTAGAGGTCATCCCATATCAGCTCAAGAATATAAAAGAAAGTTGGATGGATCAAGCTAAGATGTTGAACCAGACATGGCAAAATCAATGGAGATTTGGAGAAGAACTTCTGACTTGTTATACCCAATGCATATTTTTATATGTCTATAGATAATAGAAGAAAATTTAATGTTTAACAACATCCTATCTAGTATATACATGCTGTTTTCCATTATTTAGAAAATATGTGTATGTGATGATTGCAGTGCATGCTCTGTTTGTCCATCTTTGAATTTGTTTTCAGTAAAATAAATGTATACATCATAGGTATTAATTGAAGGTTGCTTTTGTCTATTCTTACATGAAACAAGTTTCTTAAAAGGGTTTGTAAAATTGCAAGGAAATTAATACATGAACAATTAAGATTAATTTTCTTATTCATTAAATTTTGTTCTTACCAGGACCTAATACCGTATAAGTAGAAATTTTAGCGAGGATTTAATTTTGGCATCATTAGCGAGGGTTCTGACATCGCTAAAATTAAAAATCGCTAAAAATTAATTGCGTATGATTTGTAATATCTTCTTTAGTTAGCATTTTAGAATCGCTAAAATAACTTCTCGCTAAAAATAAAATACCAGATTTTCGGTAGAAATCGCTAAATTTGGGTCTCGCTAAAATTTCCACTTATACGGTATGCTGAAATAAGTATTTCTGAAAACTGATGAGTTTTGTACATAAAGCTGCAGTGAACTGTGAACATGTATAATTATATCTACTGTAACAGTTTAAAACATGACACTTGGAAATTTTAAGGTTGTTAATTTAGTAGGAATGATAAGACCAGTTTAGTAATCTACTAAAATTAAAATCTTTCACAAATACATGTAGTTTATTTTAAAATTGTTTACATTTATAATCTTTTAATTTTTTTTCTGTATTTTGATTTTAAAAAGGAAAATATTTTGTTATATTTAAATTATTATTTCATGGATATCAAGGAGAAATATCTATCACTGTAGCATTGTTTCTTTTTCCCTGTTCTTGACAAATATGTCATTTTGCAGAATTTGCCTTTCTCTGAAATCAGATGTACTCTGTGAACTTATTAAAGTTTGAATTGATGTCACTTAGAATTCATCTTTTTTTTTTGTTCTGTCTGATATTTCAATTTAAATTCTCAGACTACCTAATCCAATGATTGAGCCCATGTCCATGAAGTGTAGAAATAGGCCATCTTTAAAAAATGTTTGGTTGTCGGCCTCTCCAGACCGACTGACTGAATTGACCAGACTGAAAACTTTGCAGGGCCGTATTTTTTTCTTTTTATTCCTCTTATCCACCTTAAAAAATGTTGTTGAAAATTCTTTCACCTACCGACCCAATAATTTTACCCTGAGTCAAATGCAAGAGAGGGCAAACAAACATTACTTTAAAGATAGCATTTCTACTCTTCGAAGTAAAGAAATCATTTAGTTATAAAAACAGCAGCTTCTAGGATGCAATGCTTAAAACATTTCATTCAAAAATGGCATACATGTATAATGACAGTCATCAGCCATAACTGAATAAAGATATATTTTGCTACAAAGATGTCTAGAAGTTACTACATAAATCAGCATGAGGTCAAATTCATAGGCTTTTGATTGGTTTAGTTGCAACATGTTCTGAAGTATGTGTATATACATATACATGTACTTCTAGAGGTGTTGCAGTATAATTCATGGACAATTTCATCAGAATTTGCAGATGTAAAGATTGCCATAAATACTAGAGTTCTTCTATGGAATAAATTTTTAGACCATCATGTAGCACAGGAGGAGTTTTATTTTGAATATTTTTGGCCAATTTATGCCTAAAACAATATAAAAAATAACATATAGTCTTTAACATTCACCATGACAAAGTGATATCAATGTTGTCTTTAAAAGTGTAGAAAAAGCCTAATTTTTATGTTCTGAACCCATAATATAGCCCCTGTTTCCATGGAAATAATATTGGGGACATACATATTTTTTCAGTTCAAATTAATGAAAATGATCAAATTAATAACTTCATGGATTTTGATGGAATCGGTAGATATGTAAAACGTTGATTTTTATATTTTTGTTGCCATGGCAACGGTTTCACTTTATCAAGGAAAATTGAAAAATCTTCTTTTTTACCCAAATTTTCACATTTTTGATAATGGAAAATTAAAAGTTTAAATAATAGAAGCATGAATTATACTAATTCAGGTCATTTTAATTATAAAAGTTTGATAATTTATAAAATAAACCAAAATTTTCAATGAAAATAATATTCGAGGTGAAATATGAAATACGTTAAATTTGGCGTCTTTTACTTAAAAAATGGGACGGGCAATATCTTTGAAAATCATATTAAATGATGAAGCTAATCTCCCTGAATAAATTGATATATAGTACGTGTGCATATTAAAAAAAATATGAGTTGGAGGGAGACGCAAACCTTACCTTAATCATTAAAACTTCGAAACCTTAAAACTATGCACCGTTTTCAGTTTATAATGCTAAACTTATAATTTACTCAAGTCACAGCCGATTGCTTGGCACGCAGATCATTTATCCTCTAGACATAAGTCTTATTTGACCTACGAGGATTTCCCCTGACCTTTAATGATCACTATATATCTTGTGTATATTCATATTATGTACACATTTTCCTTTTTTTAAATCAGGCTTGAGAACTTAAAATTTGTTATTCATGATACTTTTCAGAATCTGTAAGCAAATATCCATTTATTTAGTACGTACGTGTATGTGTGTTTGAAAGGGGGTCTTTTTCACAGTATATATTTTGGAAAATTTTGATTTTTATTTCAAAATGTATGTAAAAAAGTATTTGTGTCTTCATGAATGAAACATTCGCAAGAGAAAGATTACATTACAAACAAACAAACAAACAAACAAACAAACAAAATGTACTTCTGCAAACATGATGGTACAATATGTAAAGGAAATTTATAATCCTAAAAATGTTCATGTCAAGCTTAAATCCATTAAAAGAATGAATCAATACACTAATGATTTTTCAGAGTTTATAGACACAAAGAAACAAAAATTCAAAATATTCAAACAAAGTCTCATTAAAATTATATATCGTTAGGTATATATTTGTTATAAAACAACTTGTACAAAAAATAGTTTAATGTAGATCAGAACAAATGAGAGATCGTAGCCCTCGTTGAACGCTTAATTGATATAATATAAATAATTTGAAACCTATAACTTTTTCATATCTATCTGTAAAGATGTTTGTTGTATAATTGGAATAAAATTTTGTCAATTTCATTTTTCTAGGGTTTTGTGCAAGATTCAGTGTAGCAGAAGGGAGAATAATTAATGACCCAGGGTTGGACTGTACAAAATTCTCCACACCGTGTCCTTCAAGATTTCTGTCAAATGAATCCTTTAAATGTATTGTGCGATATATATTCAAAATATGAATTATCTTAATTGTTTGTGCGTGCATGTGTATGTATAAGAATAAGAACGAGGGAGAGAGGTTAAATAAATATCTCATAATTACAGATCAAGGATGCTATGATTATCTTCAACAGTCTACACCATCAAAAATCATTGAGAAGAAAA